CTAATCTGTACCATCATGCACAACCCTTCAGGCCACCCCTGTGGACCCTACTCTGTGCGGCCTATTACCCACTGTATGCCCCCTCACTGGGGCCAACACTGTGCCCCTTTGCTGGGGCCACTCTTCGGCCCCTTGCTGGGGCCACCACTTGGTTCCTCTTCACTGGGGCCCTTAGATGCTTATAAACTGAAACTTTATTGGAAGCCAGTAGTTATTTATGCTTCTACCTGCATAAGTAACTTTTAAGACAGATTCCTCAGCTACTCAGGTACTTTGAAATTTTTCTCTGATATAGTTATTTCTATAGTAAGAGCAATAAATGCATCTTTTTAAAAACAGCTGGATTTTTCAGGTTATGACTAGGCACATTTTAGCAGTTGGTACAGAATAGCGAAGTCAGGAGCTCAACTCTGATATTGATCTCCTCCATGACCTTTGGGCAAGTGCTCCTGTATTCCCATCTCTAAAGCTGGTGCATCTATACACATGCTTTGTCACCTCATAGTAGGGGTCCTTCTATATGTACTAAGTTCAGTTATTTAATTAGTAAAAATATCATTGCAAAATTCATTTCTTGTGCTCCAAAGTGAAATACTGCATTGTTGTGATGGTAAAATATCTGTCCTTTTTCATTTTAGCTAGTTCCTCTCATGGAAAAAAAATACAAGCCTCTAAGTCGTCTTCTTCCCCAGCTCCTTCATCTACATCATCTCATCCTAAAGCCTCAAAGGAGACAACATCCGGTAAAACAGGCACATCAGGGACTGCTAAGGGCAAGAAAAAACCCACAAAACAGTCAGGCCCACGAACAGGACCAGATGGGGCTGTTTCATCCACTTCAAATGTAGTAGTCGACAATTTAGAAACAAAAGTGGAAAACTCTGTGCCCAAGCAACTTCCATTTATCATTTCAGAAGCTGAAGATACTGACCAGCAGATCAAGCTAATTGTCCCTCCTCCTCCTACCGCTGCTCCTCCTCCTCCCCCATCTCTTCCTACTCTAGCCAGTCAGTCCACAGTCTCCTCCGATATGCAAGATATACCAGTTAGTCCCAGCGCAGGCCCTTCTGTCCCTGGTTCAGATGTTAACCATCTTCTCCAGACTGAATGTGAAACAGAGAATGAGAATGTAAGCAGGACAGCACTAGACAACAGCCTTGATGTTAGTGAAGATGCACAATGGTAAGACTTTACTGCCTTTTTAAGTACTCTGGTAAACATTAATTGTTAAGGATAGTGAAACCAATCAGACAACCTAAGGAAGACTCCCAGTCCAGAACCTGAACCTTTGCTTACCAATCAAATCAAACTTTATAGATCCAAAATATAGGTCCAAAAAATGTATTTACTAACTTTTTCATTTTTATTCATCTTTAGTTGCCTATAGACTTCCACATTTCTGTCTTGGCTAAATGCTAATGTGGCAATATGCATGAAAGAAAAACATTCCTGTAAAACTCTTCCACTGTAAACTAAATAACATTTGTAATAACAGTAATTTCTTCTTTTCTCCCTGTCTGAAAAAAATAAACAGTACTTTATGAATTAGATTTTCTGAGACTCCATGAAGCCAGTTGAATTGCCATTTGGCACCCAGAAACTCCACTGGTTGGGCATCACTACTAAACCCTAAGGCAACTAGAGACAGGGTGATTTCAAGGTATCTCTTCCAGAGGCAGAACTGATGAGAAGTCTTAATAAAGAAACTTTTTCTCATAAGCTTTTTGAGCTATGGTACCCCTTAATGCTTTTCACCTTCACTTCAACGCACTTTATGAATGTTAATTCCTACAAAGCTGCTGTGAAATAGAGACAAAGTATTCACATTCTAGTTTTATAAATGGCAAAATGGGGGTGTAGAGAGGTGGTTCAAAGCATCCCAGCTGGAATGATAAATCAAGAATTTCTTACTCTCAGTCCTGAGAGTAAACCAGTAATTGATTGCTCATTATGACCCACTGCATTCTCCATACCTCCTTGATAATGATCTCCTGCAATTCCTTGGTGACCTATTCATGGAGAAAATTACTATTGAACTAAGATCTTTTAACCACATTTAAAGAAATGCCAGGTTGCTTCTGGTTTGTTGTAAGCAGCAGTAAAGGTAATGGGTGAACACTTGATTAAATGATAGGCCAGGTAGTGGCTGACCTCACGTCAGTATGCAAGTGGGAGAGAAGGCACAGGAAGCTTCACTTCCTCCACGCCCTTTGCATCTTGCACAGGGGATAGCCACACCATGGCTAATGAGCCCATGAGGACTTCCAGTACAGTGAAATGTCTCAAAGGCACCAGCAAGCACAGTGTGTCCTTTGCCAGCATCTCTGCTCCATTCACTCATGATGTTTAATGTTCTCCAAAATGTCATTTGTTATAACCTGACTGCTTAGTTGCTTCCTGACTCAACATAAGCACTTGGTTGACAACAAAACTGCAAGTAGATCTTTTTTTCATGTCCCACAGGGTGATATGAGAAGAGTCACGTGAAAGTGAATTACAAAAGTTTTAAAATACATTTTTGGTTCAAATCAAACTCTACAAAATCTTAGTTCAATATCTGAATCTACATGCAAACCACAATTTATAGTAGCTGGACCTAATTGATAGACTTTTGGCATCTCTCAGCCTGGTAAATTATACAAATATCAGGTGTTATGAAGTGTGAGCAGAGAATTGTAATTATATTTTAAATACTGGCCCACCCCAACACCTGTCAGAGCACATATTCCAACCCATCTCCCTATCCCTTTTTACTTCCCTCTCTTGTTAGTTGTTAGTGCATATTATAAATTATTGTTGCTGCAGGGCTGGGATTAAATCATAAAATGGTTTGTTTACATAAGCACTGAAGCATCCCTCTTTGTGAAGAGTTACGGGTTGGAATAATCTAGCCTGAATTGTCATGCTTGCTTGTACAGGCTGCCTCCCTCTGCTGTGCCCTTGTGTTTGGGTTAACGTTACAGAATCTTTATTATGAATTCACAGTTCAGTTACCCAAGACGACCAAAAAGAGGAGACTTCTAACCTAGCAAGTGCTGACCCACCAGAAGAGGCGTCCGAGAATGTTGCCCCTCCAGAAAGCGATAGCAGCAAAGAGAACCACACCAGTGACTCCGATTCTGATGGGCCTATACTCTACACTGATGATGACGATGATGACGATGATGACAATGCAAGTGCTGAAAGTAAGAATAGTTGAAGTAGGGATGCATAGGGGAGAGAAAATCTCTTTATCAGAATGACAAAAGAAAATCCATCAGTCAGCAGACAGCTTATGTCAACTGTTTTTTAAAGCAATTAATTCCACCTCGGCTTTGGACTTCTCTTAGCAGAGAGGGACAGTCTCTATGTGCATGTGTGTATTAAAGTTTTGAAATCTGAGGAAGCTTGCCTCAGGATAACGAGAGAGCTGATCATATCACCATAGTCAGCTTGACTAGTCTGAATGTAGAGGAAAGGCAGGTGAATGAGCATTTCAACCTTTTGGTTGCTGGTTTTAGACGAGACAGGCCACGTGAAAAGTGTTTCCCACAGGGATACTGTGTAAGCCAGCGGGGTTGTAATGAGATTGAAGTCCTTTACCACCCTGTCTTTGGTATAGATATGTTTCAGGTTTGTATTAACTGAAACCTGATCCATTCATAAAGCAGTACATCTTGTGTGAAGTGATTCTGTGGTAGTCTTAGTCTCATACTTGCCTTAGAGGTGCCTACCTCATAAAATATGGCTGTCAAGTAACTTATCTAGCTCCCTTTGGCAGAGAATCTAAATATGGAAACTGAATGAGCCGATACCCACTTGTTCCTAACTTTGGTTGTTTCTCTAGTTGGTTGAAGCATATTGGTAGGAAGCTTACACCACCGTTTTCATTTGTCACCCATTTTGTGATAAACCTATGACTTCAGTCCACAGGGCTTTCCATCTAGAATACTTTAGAGTAACTAAATGTACTTTCTTCTTTTCAAATGCAAAATTCTGTAAATTTTGCAAATTCTCTTTGATTTTAATGGCAGGTGAGTTAATGTTTTCAAAGTGCTATGAAGATGAAAAGCCAAGTGCTAGGTAGCATTAAGATCAAAAAATGAGAAGGGGGAGTGAGGGAAAGGTGAGAATCAAACTGAAGGGACTGAGGCTAAAGGTGAAGCATTTGCTGAGCATGGAGTTTGAAAGCAAATAAAACAACCTGTAATATATCAGATTTCAGATTTTTATCAAATCACTTCACAGATGACAGGCAATGCTTGTATATTTGCTCACTGCCTTCTAAGATCTTGGCTGTTAGTTTATTCTTTTGTACTTCGGCCTTCTATCATCATGAGCTGTGCTGAAACTATTTTTCTTCTGATGTTAATTAAAATTCCTCTCCTGCATGTGGGGAAAGAGGCTGCTATGGGGATGTATGAAAATCCTTGCTGAGAGTTTGCATCTGTAACCTGAGCATGAATGAACTAAGCCTGCCCTCCTCCTTTTTCCCTCAGGTTCTTTGGCAAGTAAAATCCGTCGTAGGGATACTCTTGCTATCAAACTTGGCAACAGACCATCTAAGAAAGAATTGGAAGACAAAAACATCTTGCAACGTACATCTGAAGAGGAGAGGCAGGAAATCAGACATCAGATTGGAACGAAGCTAGTAAGGTATCAGTTGCAATTTGAATGTGGGTTTGCAAGGTGGGGAGAGAATCGAGAACATTGCCTTACAACCTAAAGAAGGCCACAATATTTGGTGCAGGTTACTTTAGGTCAAGTTGGCTGGAAAACAAGCTTTTCATTTTGCAAAAAAATTCAAGGTTTCAGCATTGACTTGCTTTCTTACGTGGAGCAAATGTAAACCTTTAGAAAATGTTCATGAAAAAAACAGATAAAGAAAGCCCAGAATAGCCAATAGCAAAGTGGCTAAGGTGCTAGGTTCTAGTCCATGCTCCAGATCAGCATTAGGGTGGACTCGTGGGCAGTGAGTCAAGCAGACATGCTAGAGTAGAGGCCACTGAGATCAAGCAGGATATCAGTCTGAGTCCAAAGTAAGAAGCTAGAGGTCACAATGAAATTGGAGTCAAGACAAACTCTTGGTCATGTCACAAAGTCAAAGCCAGAGGAGGGATCACTCAGAAGCAAGCAAGACAGGAACACAGCAATCAAGGAAGGGACCTAGCAGCACAGTAGCAGGAGCAGTGACAGGCAGATACTGGCAAGGATCCAGGCAGGAGGGAGGTACAGGTTCAGGCTGGAACTTCGGTCAGGGTCAAGGCTAGGCAGGGTTCAAGTGGGATCTCTAGGTAGGAACAAGACAGGTCAGGAGATGCAGCCAGGCAGTCTGTTTACTCAGACAACTCTCTGCTGGCTGGTCTGAGTTTATATAGGTCAGTGTGGATGGGGCTCCTCCTGAGGACTCTGGGGATGACTCAGCCAGGGTCCTGATCAGCTCCAGCTAGGCCTGGATTCATTACAATCAGGCATTTGAACCAGGCTTTCTAGCCACTGAGTTATGAAGTCACTCTCTCTTTGCCCCAGTGCATATTAAATTATTTATTAACTAAAAGAGAATGACTTTTTAGCACTGATTTAGCAGCCTGCTCCAAATCTGAGTTTCCAGCATTCTGGGTGAGTTTCCTAAGTACTTGCCATTGGTTGTTGGGGGTGGACATTTCTCTTCCTTCCTAGGTTTAAGCAGGTTTAATCAAAAACAATGCAATTTTGCGCGCACACACAAAAAAGGAGGTAGCAGTGTTGACAAATTGTCATTTTCCAATTCCAGAACATTTTGTAAGAACAAAATAAGAGTTGGTGAGGAATTGGTTTTTCCAGCTCTGTGAACACTTGGTGTGTGTACTCAAGAGCCAGTGAAATAATTTGATTTCATTCATTAAGTGAAAACGTGGAATTCAAGGGTCTCTTTTCTTAACAATGGAGTTATCTGCATTGCCTTCATAGTTTAAACTGAGCAAGTTGTTCTTTGCTTCCTGTCCTACACTTCCTTCTTGTTGCTGGTACCACATAACAGCTGGCATGTTCTGCTCCAGAGGTGGCTGCATTTTGGTGACGGGTAATGAATATCTGATTAACCTGGTGAACTGCACCACCTTACCTGATTCCTGCCCCACAGTGAAAGCCAATGGTATTCTGTGTGTTCGTGAACTCCTCTGCTTCCATACCCAGAAAGTCCATCTTGCAATGCTCAGCTCCTCGGCCTCAGCTGTCCAGCTTGCCTCCAAAGCAGTTTGCCTCACTGAATTACTCAGCTAAGGTTTGCCAGTGATGAGGGGCCAGTCTGAGTTTCGTTAGACAGAGGAGATACCTCTGGGTCTTCTAACTTCTACAGCTACCCAAAATTAAACTCAGTGTTGAAATTTCTCCTGTTGCTCTTCAGCTCAGAAGTAAATGCATTTAATAAATATAATGGCAATACCAGCCATGTTCTGCAGTGTACGAGTTTGAAAATTAAATCCTCTCTCACCATAAAAAATGCTTAGGTACATTTTTACATATAAGTAACTCGTCTTGATTTAAATCAGACTTTGCATATATATAGTAGTCAGTAAGAAATGGGAAATCCTTGCATTTAAAAAAAATAAAACGGGCAGAAGTTCTTTTAAAAATGTATTAAAATATTCCTGCTATCACACAGTATATTCCACAACAATATAGGTGCTTTATATAAAGTCCTTTGTACATGCTGGGCACATCTACACATACATTAATGCACCGTAGTGACTGCGCACTAAGTTTAGTTACCTATAATAACCATCACTTTTGCACACTAGTGTCAGCATCCACCTTGTCAGTGATGTTGATGCTCAGTAGACTAATTCTACTGTGCATTAGTGCATTAGCACAGCTTTTGCTGTGATACACTAACGCACAGTAGAATTAGTCTACTGAACATTTAGCACCTTGTGTAGATGTGCCCACTGTATCCCAAAATGGAGTCTTTAAAAGTTTGCCCACACTTTTATGATTGAAGTCACATGCTTATTATTTATGTGGCCATGTGGCCAGTTATTCATCTTGTTAAATGTGTGCCTGTTCCGTACCCATTTTTATGCATACAGGCATGGCAATCATGTATACAGATAAGCTGGGCGATTGCACATCTTGTTCTCGGTTAAAAAAAGTAGTGTTAATGGTTCCAGTTAGAAGATTGATTATAGGAACTGTGTTACAAACTTAAGTTTTTATTTTCAATGTTTGATTAATAGATTTTTTATTTCTAACTGGTCGTTTAATTTGTTTTCGCAGGAGACTTAGCCAGCGGCCCACAACTGAAGAGCTAGAGCAAAGAAACATTCTAAAGCGTAAGTATTCTATGCAGATTACGGTTATTTATTCAGCACATAAGCACAACATCTGCTGGATTTATTAGGAAACCTGTCTGGAGAAAAATGATGCTGATGAAAGTATCTTGACAACAAACCCATCCATAAGCCTGTGATGGTCATACTGTAAACAGACTGCATTCAGCAGGCTAAAACATACTGTCGGTCATACCCATAGCAAGCTGCATGAATATGGCTGAGGGTGGAATCTACCACTAAAGTTATTAAAATCAGTCATGCACCTAAGTGTGACTTAAAGGTATTTTTGAACTATTTAATTAATCCCCGCTAACTTTTATGAGAAGGAAGGGAAATCTTATGGACCCTCTAAGTCAGGGCAGAAATGGGTGCATGTATTATAAAGAGTGACAGAAGGGTGAAGTGTCCTGAAGGAAGGATAAGGTATGCTTCAATTCTTTGAAAACGTCTGAGAAATGACAAGAAATTTCTTCCTTTCTAAAGTTGCAATAATGTTTGTGGGTTCCTTTTGTAGTGAAAAGAGTAAGAAGATTTCCACATAGCTAGATGCTAGGCTAGCCATGCTTACTTTTATATCTGCTTCACTCATGCATATATTTGTGCCTTTTTCCATAGTGCCTCCACCCCCAAAGCACCCTCACTAAACCGATTCACAAGGTTTTCACTACATCTTTGAAATCCTTCCTTGAGATACTTATCTTCCATTTCTGCAAGAAATTTGACCAATAATCTTAAAAAGGTGGAGGGACAGCTGAATATTATTGATTGTTATTATTATTATTTCATTTTTAAAAAGAAATTTGATTAGGTATATCAGACACATTTTGATTGCATGTTGGTCTTCCATTTTATTTCTGTTGCTTGTGTACTTTGGAGCAGGAAGCCTGTTTCACTTTCTAAATGCTTGCATCCCATGTGTGCTTCCTAATACCATTAATGAATTATGGTAATAAATATTGGAAAGATAGTACCCTTGGAAACCCTATCACACTTTGCAACCAAACAAAAAATCATCTAGACCCGACATGTGGCAATCTTCTTACCTTCACATGGATGATACAGTATGTGTAGTGCTACAAACACACAGTCAGCTTTTTCATGCCTTGATTTCATCTTGGCACACTTAAATGCAACATGCTGATAGAGGAGAGGAAGAAAAGGAAACATGGATTACACATCCAGTGAAATCTAAGTGATACTGGCAACATCAGGTGACCCAGCCAACAAACGGGAAAAAAAAGTTATTGGCTTTCAGAAAAACCATTAAAGCTGATAAAATACCACTGCTGTCATCCAGCCTCTCAAAAAGATAACTTAGCACCATTGTTTAAACTGTAACTTCTGGTTATCTGCTATGTGCTGTGGTACACAGGACAGGGTTCAACAAGTTCCTGGCCAAGACATTATCTCAACCGATGTTCAGTATGCAAAATTCTGAATTTATATATTACGTTGTCAGACATAATAAAGACAAATATTAAGTGTGTATATATTTATGTGATAAGTAGTCTGCAAATGCTGAACCACATGGGAAAGATAATTCTAAAATACAGCAAGACACAAACAATACCCACTGGCTTTGGGAATTTCAGTTGCACGTCTCATCTCCAGGTAGCTCTGAACAGCTAATCTAAACAACATGCAAAATTGCATAGTCAAGTTAAAAACCACATGTAGTCCTTTTTTTTTCTTTTTTCCTGTTATTGTTGAAAATAATAGCAAAGATACAGCTGCAGTGACTATACATCCTGTTTTCCGGAGAGTCCCATTTTAAACACCCGTCTCAGGCATCCATTGTTTTAGGCAAATGAACACTTTTGTCCCATTTTCAGGGAGACATGCAGGAACAGAAATTTATGCAGTCATCCTAAATGTAGCTAACAGAGACTAGCAAAAAGAATTCTTTTCTGTTTCAGTTAGTTTACTTTGTACCTTTGACAGCACTTTGTTATGTAGTAACTCTCACAATTTCCCCTATGTAACCAGTCATTTTCTCTTGGTGTTTGTATGGCTCTTTCTCAAAGCAGCAGGGGAAAAGAAAATAGTGTGGAATATTAAATTATATGACTACAAATATGTGCAGAAAAATATAATATAGTATGAGTGACATCAGGCTGATCAGTAGGTCAGATCAAGCCCACAGAGCAGCCCTGTACACCGGAACCAATGTGTGTTCATGCCACATGTGGCTCCCGCTTTTACTAATTTTTTAAAATATATTGTATTTCACGTTGAAGGTGATCATTTAAAAAACACTTAGTGAGCGTATAAATGGACTTGGGCACCGAAGTATGATTCTGATCCACTCTGCTTGAGTCTATAAAAACAGTTGAGGCACAAGATGGATGGTGCCGCCTTCTCCTTGTTGCCTTTTTTGTGATTCAGTTTTAAGGGTAAAATGACAATGTAGTACAAATGGATGCATTAATGGACTTTCAGAATTTGAGCAGGATGGAATAGAATTGCATTTAGGGACCAAGTCCCTTTGGATGCCTAATTGATGGAATAAATCCTGCCCCAGATGTTATGTTCAGTTTTTAATTGAACTCCTAACTCATTATCAATGCAGATTTCCCCGTGTTCTTTCAGTGCTTAAACTAAATGTATTGTGTAGTCCACCCACTTCCTAAGGACACTTCTGAAATGTTTTTTTTTCTTTTAAAGCCCTGTGTTGTTGTATGCAGTTCTTACGAATGAGTCAGAAATTCATTCATAAATCTTTCTTCCTGCTGACTTTTTAAATATAGTGTGGCTGGTAGTATAATGTTTTTTCATGTAAACTAAGCAGCACTACAACTAGGAGAATGTTTTTATTTATTTTTTGACACAAGTTTGGGATAGATGAACAGGTGAAAGGATAATTTGAAATGAACCAAATATTTGCCTCAAATTTAAATGGAACTCAAACCCTTTTGTCATCTGAAAAAAAATAATTCTAAGCTAAAGTAGGAAATTCACAGGAATTTGGCTCTACGGTGATAGTTTGAAGTATAGGAACTCCTGATACAGAGCATGGTTATGTGGGATTCAAGCCTGATTTCTAAATCAGAGAGATGTGCATGAGTTGGTAAAAGCATCCAGACCTTTGTATGCTTCCACACAAGCATCAAGAAATTATGACAATTTAAGCAGTAACCTGCATGAATTATTATAAGGCCAGATCTAAGCTGTTGTTTGTGCCAGATCTAAACTGAACCAAGGCCTGGCCAGAATTTGGGTACCTAATTCACAAAAAGTGATCTACACCAAGCCCACTTCAACAGCTGTAAAATTGCTTAGTTCCTAGACTCATTAGATACCTCCATTTTGGCCTGAAAATTCCCTAAGCACCTGGATTTTGGCTTCTGAGTATGCTGAGAGGGATCCAGATAGAGTAGCTGGGTATCTAGCTCCCTAAATGCCAGCGAAATCCGAACTGGAGCTAGAAGACACCTCTTATCCACCTCAGGCCCTGATCTATTAAGTGGCCACAGCTCCTGGGATGGTGTATGCATTTCACATTAGACAGCCATTGGTTAAAAAACAGAAATAACCCTGGCAGCAGGGACCAGAATGAAGAACTCCTCCCACGGGACTGTCCTCATCACTAAGCTCTTACTTGCTACTTCTCTCTTTGGCTCCACGATCTTATACTCATAGCTGGCTGTGGCCCAGGATGAGCAGAAAGCGTGGTAGGTGCCTCTCCACCCCAACTGTTCTACAACCTGGTCCTTAGGTCGCTCTCCCAAGAAAGGAGAGATGTGGACCTTCCTTAGACTAAAGTGGGCCTAAAACCTAGGTCTCCCACTTCTTGGGCATGTGCGATAATCACTGAAGCATTTGGCAGAAGGTACAGCACCATTACCATTGCTCTAGCTCTTGCGCTTTGTGAATTCAGTGCTGCTCTCTGTAGGTGTTAGTTGCCTTCTCTCTGGGTTCTCTAGGTCCTGAGATGATGATGGTCCCTTAGGAGCAGCCCTGAGCCAAGCACCCAACCTTGGAGAAAAGACAGGAGATCTGACACACCCCTGTGCCTACCTTTTCCTATTGGCTCACTCCAGGCACCTCCGTGCTCAATGTTTGGGCACTCACCCTTCAGAGGTGCCTATCTTTGTTCATTTACTGTACAGGGAACCTAGCTGGATAGATCCTGCCTAGCTGGATCATCTGCCTGAGGCAAGGCATCTCATTCTGCAGGTGTTGCTATACTTGAGTGGAAGTGCCTGTGGGTATAATTTGCATCTGGCCCCTAGATAAAGATTCCTGTTTTTTAACACAAACGGGTTCCTTGAATACTGGCTCTGATCCCATGTCGATATACACCCTTCGATCAATTATAGTATTGCATTACAGCAAGAAAGCATTTTCATCTCTCCCAAGGACTCTAATTTACAGTGATTGTGGTTTTTTTTCTGTAGCTGTAAAAAGTAGTGAGCCTTTTTGGACTGTGTACCTGTCCTCTTGCCAAGAGTGGCTTTTTAGAAACACGATGTAGCTCTTTGGTGTTAGTTAAGGAATATTAATGGTTATCTTTCTATGTAAAACCAGAAAACAGAAACTGCCTTTGCTTTCCACAGCATTCCAAACCCCTAGTGCTTTGTTTGTCTTTTCTTTTTCATTTCCCTTGCAAGCTTACAAAGTAATCTAAACATAGCTAATCCCCACAGGGACACAGTGGAAAGTTCAGTTTTACGCTCCTAGATTACTTTATAGTTGAAAACAGAACAGTTATTATGTGGAAAGATTTGTCTCTTCTCTTTCTTACTTTCTGTTATCAATTAAATGTCCTCTAACATAGGAGATGACAGGGTCTGATATGCCAAAATGTGCAGCAGCAGTAATGCTGGTAATGTTTTCTGCTTCAAGGTCACCATAAGTGATACCAGCTTAAAATTCTGGGACCAAAATCTGGCTTGGTCTCTACATTCATGCATGCCCCAGAAACTGCAGCCAGAAAAGGAAGGAAACCATAGTTTGTGCAATCACATTCCAGCTTCCCTTTAAACCTCAGGAGAACATTTCACAAGGCTTCCATAGGTGGAGCTGTGGAAGGACATTTCAGGAGTTGGAGATGGAGTTACTTTATGTTTGTTTTATCCACCTAATACAGATGATATCTGCCCCTAGGACAGAAGAGAGTCTAATTAGACATTCCCATTTAAGCCTCTTTTGTATTATGAGCAAGGGCAATGTTGCCTGGGCAAGAAAGCTTTTATGCTTGCAGCCAGGATTTGGCTCAATGGGTGAGTGTTTAAAAAAGGCCTGACTGAATAAGAATGCCAAGTTCTTCCACTGGGATTCATGTTTCTAAAGCACTTAGGTGCTTTTGAAAAAAAATACATCCAATTAAAGAAAGAAAAAATAAAATGCATCCAATTAAAGAAAACACAGTAGCTGCTTGTTGCTGTGAATTTTTAAGGACAGTGTGTGTACAGCACTTATACATAACTAATGTCTGGTATTCTTTGTAGGTTTGAAATGGGTTACTTAGCAATGGAATAGGGGTGTCAAAGGCCGTAAACCAGTGGACCAACTCAGCAGCCAGTGCCTTGATATTAGCCAATGCCCTGATAGCTGCCACAAGAGTTCAGTCCATTTTCGTCACAGCTTCGGTTTTATTCTGAAAAATAAAAGAAGTCAACACAAGTTCAATGCATAAACTCTGTCTTTTCCTATGATCCAGGGTCTCCTGCAGTAACCATCCTATTGCTTGTTTGTCTAATTGCTCTGCCTGAGAGTTAGTCCCTGATCCTTCTTGGTGGAGTTTTTCTTTTGACAGATCAGCTTCCAAATGTTCTAGTCCATTTCCTTCAAGAGCTGCATTAAGCTAGCTGCCTAAGAACTAACAAGAAACTCTTGCCCCCATATTTTTAGCCTCTTGTCTGAATGAAGGCTTCCATTTTATCCCAGCAGGCCTGGTTTTGAATCTAAGGACACGTGCAGACATTACATGCAGCTGGACCTAACCCGGGTCATGGGTACAGTACACATATGTACAGTTCAGCACCTAGATCAACCCAACCCTAATTAGGTTGATCTAAGTGCTGAATTCTACATGTGTGTTTGGGGAGTTTAGATCAGGCAAAAAATAACCTGTCTGACCTAACTTTGTTCGCCTAAGGAGGTGCACTATGTAGATTGGGCTAACCTGTGCCTGATAAACCAAACGTACATACACTTTTGGAGCACAGCCCTGAGCCTGGGCCCCAGTCCTGGGGCTAAACTTTGCCTACACCTCCCCGCCCCTCCAACCTTGCCAGGCTGTTTTTACCCCTCCAGCCCCCCAACCCTGAACAGACAGCCACCCCTGTGGACCCATGAGCCTCCACCTTCTTCCTCCCAAATCCTGCCAAAAAACCCTGGGCCCACCAATCCCCCATGTGGACCCACTGACTCTTCTCCCCGCACCCTGCCCACTGATCCCACCTGTGCCTCCCGCCACCCTGACTTACTTAGATCATGTTCCTGGCATGGTTTCTGGCACCAGCGAAGATGCGCACAAGCAGGGACCCAATCTTTGGTCACACAGCTTAAAAGTAATCACGTGATCATAGATCAGGTCCCACAAACATGCACATGTTATCAACCTTCTGCCATGTGACCTTTATTTCTTTCATCTGCTAAGATTCAACAAACCAAAATACCTTTAACAGGCCAACTTGAACTGTGCCAAGTACCAAGTAATTTTATTCCCCCAAACTATAATGGTCTAGTGAAACAAACATCAGATAGGTTGAATTATTAATAACTATTTCTTGTAATATAATGTCAGGGATGTGATCCCATTATTTCTCATATAAGAGTTCTTACTACTCCCTTATGAGATACAGTGATTTAGACAAGAAAGCACAAAGTTATAAATAATAGATCATTTATTCTACAAAGAAAATAACAGAAACAGGCAACAAAAAAGTGTGTGTTCAGTCACAGTCTCTTTATAAAGTACTTCCAACAGAGATCCCATCAGGGACAACCTCCTGTAGGCAAGCTGAGTCCAAAGTGAATGAATCCCCAAATAATTAAGTCTTGCTTAATTAAATATTATGGTTATTGAGTGCAAAGAAATACTATACTAAAGGGTAGGTCAGTCCCAGGTGGGATTATTACAAATACCCTAAAACGGTATTTTTTTAATCAGTTACTTAAAGGAGTCATACGAACACTACTCACTCAAAACTCAATGTCTTTATGTACTCCACAACTTTCTTAAAGAATAGTGAAAATTAAAAATGTTTAGATTTGCACGAAATTCCACAATATTCCTAGCTTTGTCAGTTTACATCTCCTCTTCAGGAGTATGTTGTCCAGGGATTTGGGCTTCAGAAGAGAGGCTATGAATAAGCATTATGTTATTTTAATGATTCAAGAATAAAAATAATTTCAATGTTAATGAACCCCATATAGTGCTTTTGTGCAACTTGAGTGAACTAACTGAAGTTGGAGGTTTGGTGCCAGAACTTTTATAAAAAACCAGTGCTGAAGCTGATTAATTTTGTTCCTGATTTCCTCCAATGCTCTTTCTTGTGTTGTTGAATTGTTATCTTCCCTTCTTTCCCCTCTACGTGTTTCTTATACATCACCTTATGCGTCATTAAACAACATTTACAAGTTTTTGACAGTGATCTGCCTACAGTGACTCATGTAGCTCCAAAGACAGAAGTACAGTTTTTAACAATGTTATTATGCTTACCACTCAATCAAGCTACAAACTCCTTTCTGAACAAACTGCATGGTAACATACTTCGTATGGTCCTAGTGGATGGGGACTAATCACACAAGAGTCAAGAATCAAACCCATGTATTTTTAATCTTGTTCTTACATAATTTTGTCATGTGCATGGTAGATGAACTTTAGAACTAATGTTGTTCCTGAACCACAACTCTCAATTCAAAATTGTGACTTTGGGGAACATAGGATCTAAAGCTGAACTTTTCCATTCAGCCAGCCTCTTCTTCTAATGAGATCATTTAGCCCTAGTGAAATGTGACTTTAAACTTTCACATAAAGCCCAGTGGCTTTAAACTTTCACATAAGCAGTGAAGCTGTAGAAATAATGCAAATAAGTGTCTGCAAACAGTCATCAATCAAAAAGAAAGGCTTCACTGTACTTATATTGCTTTTTAGGTTTGTTTTCTACAGACGTTCAGGCAATCAAGTGTGACAGGCACAAAGTTTGTGGAAAGCAAATTTCAGACAGAAGCGCAAATATATTCAGAAATTATGCGTTTGTATGTGCAGTTATTTGCCTCTTCCAAACAGCACAGAAAAAATACATTGCAATCCACCTGGTCAATCACAGTTAATAAAAAGAGCTTGAATACTGAAAATCAAGTGATAACAGAGAGCAAGAAATGACCAAGCCATGGAATAAAAAAAATTAAAATAATTCAGTGAACAATTTCCAGTAGCAAACAATTTTGAAAAATTTGTGCTCTGCTTCTGGATATGTCACCCAGAAACATTCTTCCCCCTCATATATTTTCTGGACCATTGTGGCTATATCACTCCAGCACACTCTGCTTCCCATGGTTCTATAAGCAGAAAAGAGAGGCTGGGTTGCTTAGATGAGTTATTCACTGCAAACTATTTTCTTAGCCCTAGTAGACACAGTTATACTCTGATTCTAGTGTAAAGTAACTGGGACCCTGGGAAAATGGCAGTAGTCTCCTAGCAGGTAAGTGAATCAGTTATGCATGTACTTTCACAGGGTGGAAATTCTCTGCTATATTGCTAGCATAAGACAGTAACTATAAAAGACAACTGAGCTGGGGAGGAGAGAGAATAGGTTGAAGTAAGAGCCCAGAAATAAAATATGAATAAGCATAAGCCAATATTCTAAGCTTTAAAGCTTTCTGTCTAGAGAAATATACTGTGCACACATATATGTTAAATATTCATCCCTTTTTTCTCTCTTCTACAAACAGAGAAGAATGAAGAAGAGGAACAGGAAGCTAGGAGGGAATTGAAGCGCAGACTCAGTAGAAAGGTGATAAAATGTTTCATGTATATTGTGCTCATTTTTATAATGAAGGATGAGAATTTTTCTTTACCCACTTCTAGTGACAAACTTCCTTCTCCCATCCCCCAGCCTCCAAAATGTGAAATCTGTTTAAGAGATAATGGGCCAAATTCTTCTGCAGTGTGACTCCAGTCTGTCCAATTTTCCATAAATTACAATATTCCAAAAGGCAATCAACGTCTGAATCATGGAAATAAATATTGAACCAAATTATGGTTACCTTTTGTGTAGGGAAAAAGCTTCAAGTGTCTTCCTGAATACCGTCACCCTCCTGTACCAGGCAGGAGCAACCATACGTTTTGTCCCAGCACTTTCCTTAACTAAGGGATTTTCCAAAGAGGCATGTAAGAGGTACAGGGCCCATAGAGCCGCCACAGGTCTCCTATACACCAGCTAAGCTAGAAGCATATGCTTCATTTTTCTAAAACCTCTCCTTTGAAAGGAACGGAAGAATTTTTCTGATACTTCTGGGAGATGGTGAGTAATATTTTCAAAACTATTCCTGACTAATCTAATTCTGCTCCCACTGAAGTCAATGGTACATCGGTAAAACCCACGTTGACTTCATTGGGAGTTGTACATTGAGTTCTGTTGGAAATCCCACCTGCTGTGCTTCAGCGATACCCTGTATCTCTCAGCATCTCTCCCTTAATGGCACAGTCTTCACTCATAGAGGATACATTAAATCACCAGCATTAATTGCCAAGATCAGAGTGAATATTATTACATAAAACACTGCAATATAAAACTCTGTCAACAGGCAGTGTACAATCTCTTATTTATTATTCATAGCAGAAAGTAGGATCACAGTATACAAAATGTTTATCATCGTGTCCTAGACAGTAATTTATCTATGTTACAAGTTTGGATTTTAATCTCTGTAAGTTCTTGGGTGTCTCTTTTAGTCTAAATATAATGGGCAAAGGGGACTGGACTTGATAATCAAATTTAAAGAAACCTTTAAAGCCTTAAAAAATAAGTCTACACATATTTGCAATATGAGGGTCAATCAGAAAGTAATGCCTTCTATTTTTTTCCTCAGTCAAAGCTATTAAAAAATAATAATAAACTTGCACAGAAAATGTGTACATTATCATTGATCACACAGCTGTTTTTCAGCCTAGTTTCCTTCTGTATCAATGGCTTTTTTCTACTAGTGAATAAGGTCATGTATTCCGATGTTTCATAATTTCATAGATGCTAGGGGCTGGAAGGGACCTTACAGATCATCAGATCCAGCCCCCCTGCACTTGGGCAGGAAAGACTGCTGGGGTCAGATTGCTGGGATCAGTAAATTGAATATCAAGATGCTTTTTGAAGATCGCCAGGGTGGATGACTGTACCATCGCTGGGGGAAGCCTGTTCCAAATCCTTGGCACTCAACTTGTAAAGAAGTTTTTTCTTATGTCTGATCTGAAGCAATCTTCAATCAGTTTGTGCCCGTTGTGTTTCTTGTCCTCCCCTGGGGGCCTCTGTGAATAGATGCTCCTGCAGGCCCTGATGTACACCCATGATATACTTATAGGGTGTCACCAAGTCCCCTCTGAGTCTTCTCTTCTCTAGGCTGAACTGTCCCAAGTCTTTCAGCCTCTCCTTGTATGGCCTAGTCTCTAGGCCTCTAATCATGCATGGCCCTCCTTTGGACTCTCTCAAACTTCTCCACATCCTTCTTGAAGTGTGCTGCCAAGAACTGGACGCAGTACTCCAGCTGTGGTCTCGCCAAGGCCAAGTAGAGTGGGAGGGTGACATCTTTAGCCTTGCTTGAGATGCCTCAGTAGATGCATGCTAGTGTTTGATTAGCTCTGTCAGCTACGGCATCGCATAGGTGGCTCATGTTCATTTTGTGGTCTATCACAAAACCCAGGTCCCATTCAGTTGTGATGTAAAAGTACTTGCCTTTGTTGTGCAGCCACTCTTGCTCAACACTGTATCGTTTCACTTTCACCCCAGAGTAGTCACTCTCATAGTCCAGCCTTCATCCTCAATGCTGTACAGAGGATGGGGCAGCACAGTCCATACCAGTGATCAGATTGCCTCTGCTTCTGTGATGTGCAACCTAGTGTGTGGGAGAGCACTGCTGTACAGAAGTACCTTAGACACATCTATGCTGCAAGGGGATTTTTAAATAATGCTTCAGTTTCTTCAGTCTTGGCATAGACCTCTGAGTTCACTGTGGCCCCTTAGGCAAGAAGTCAACAAGAAGAACCTTCCATAGTCATGGCTTACTATATAGGCAACCGTTGACCCTCTGGATCATGGCATACATGTAAGAGGTCTAGTAAGGGGCCTGATGAATCTGCTTATAGCTGAGAAGCCTAATTCAAGAGTGACACAGCTTGTTACAAGTTTCACAGATCCATAGGTTGTCTGATCTGGAGTCCAAGTTTATGGCACGTTGCTTCCTTTTTTTCTCATTTTGCTTCCATCCTCTGGATGAAAGCCGCTTCATGTTGAGCTGCACCCAGGGCCAGATGTTCCCTCCAGATTGGACAGGATTCTGTGCACTCATTCCAGCCTTCTACATTGAAGTTGAATGACTTCACATCATTTTTACACATGTCATGGTACCACCTTAGAGGGTCACCTTGCTTTCTAGAGCCATCTCAAATCTCACTATACAAAATATTCTTGGGGATACAGTTTCCTCCCATTTTTCTGACATGCTTAAGGCATCACAACCTTCTCTTCTTGGTAGTGGTTTTTAAGGGTGTATTGACACTTGCATTTACTCTAGTTTAAAGTTACTGCACAGTAAGTGGGAATAGGTCGGTGTCTACACATGCAGGCATTAAAGCGCATTAATGCTGTGTGTGGACTGACTTGGAACTAAAGTTAGTTCCAAGACAGTCCACACACATAGTGTTACTGTGCAGTAAGGCGTCTACACATGTGTTACTGCACACTAACTAAGTGCACCCTAAATGTGTCAGTTCTGCACGCTTCAGTATTTCTGTGTTTGGTATTTTGTCTTCCCACTTTATTTTCAGGACCTTGCAGAAGCATCTCATGTGGAAGCTGACTTACTGCTTAGCAGATAAACAATAGAAGGTATTACTTTGACTGACCCTCATATATATGTCTGGAATGGGAATTCGCAGCCTACAGCCCACTGGCCATATCTGGCCCAAGGAGGCATAGGAACCAGCCTGCAGATATGGGGCTTTGGCTGTGGACACTTTCCCCATGCTGCTGGGGAGAGAAGTGGCAGCAGCAGTAACCGAGTACTAGCACCCACCCAATCACCCTTGACCTGTGGTAGATCATTCTGGCCCACAGTCAGAAAAGTTTGCCTACCCTTGATCTAGGGTATGTGTACACACACCCATTTAAGTATATGTTCCTGCACACTTCTGCACATACAGCTATCACCTAGAATTAATAAGATATGTAATTATGAAGCAGCAGGCACACAAGTCCCCAAACTCAGAATTTTGCCTATGTTGCCTGTACCCATATGTACATCAGGCAGGTGAGAGCTCTTTTCAGTTCTCCATTACATGAAAAGAAACCCAGATTTCAGTTATGGTTTAGAAGTCCAGGAATCGCCACAGCAGATCAGACATAAGGTCAGTCTAGGCTAGTATTCTGTGTCTGACAGGGGCAGTGCTTTGAAAGGGAGCTGCAATAAAGCTTGAAGAGACAAAAATCTACCTGTCTTATAGGCCTCTTCCACTTTTCCAATACTTGAAGATTATCTGAGAGGTTAAAGCACCAGGTTGAATATCTGTTCCAAAATCCTTGTTGTCATTAAAGATGATGACAGAACAAGAAGCAATGGTCTTAAGTAGCAGCATGGGAAGTTTAGGTTGGATATTAGGAAAAACTTTCTCACTAGGACAGTGGCAAAACACTGCAACAGGTTATCTAGAGGGGTAGTGAAATCTCCATCCTTGGAGGTTTTTAAGGCCTGGCTCAACAAAGCCCTGGCTGGAACAAGCTAGTTGGGGATGGTCCTGCTTTGAGCAGGGGGTTGAATTAGATGACCTCCTGAGGTCCCTTCCAACCCTAATTTGCTATGATTCTGTGATAAGCTTGGAAGGTTTTGCAATCCATGCATACATTTATACCTATACCTTAATCTTGTTAAATTATTGTCTTCAACAACTTCCTTTGGCAGTGAGTTCCAGAGTTTAATCAAATGTTCTGTGTAAAATGATTTTCCTCCTACTAGTTTTGAATTTCCCATTTTCTGATGTCTTGGATGTTGTAGTTGTTGCTATTTGTATTGCCATTGTTCTTAAAAAGTCCCCATGTTCTTATGTTCTGAACTAGGCTGTAGGTCTACACCAGGGGTATCAAACTGAGAAGCTGGTTGTCAGGCTGGATTGGATTCACAGACCAGCTCTGCATGCTGGATCCAGCATATGGGGCCAATCAGGCACAGGCACCTCATGCAGCACATGTCCCAGACCCGACTTGCATGCTGCGTACACCATGCACCCCAGCCATAACCTAAACTTCCCCTGGTGCAACTTCAGACCATTTGTTCTTGTTCTGTTACCTGCCACCACTGAGAACAGTCTAGCTCTATCTTCTTTGGAAGCACCCTCCAGCTAGTTGAAGGCTATTATTGAATCCCTCCTCAGTCTTTTCTTCTGTAGACTAAATAAACCCAGTGCCCTCAGCCTCTCGTTGTAAGTTATGTGCCCAGCCCTCCAACCATTTTCATTGCCCTCCACTAGACTCTCCAATTTGTCCACATTCTTTCTATAGTGGGAGGCCCAAACCTGGACACAGTACTCCAAATGTGGCCTCACCAGTCCTGAATAGAAGGGAATAATCACTTCCCTCTTCTGGCAACACTCCTACTAATGCAGCCCAGTATTCTGTTAGCCTTCTTCACAGCAAGGGCACACTGTTGGCTTATATTCAGCTTATTGTCCACTGTAACCCCCAAGTCCTTTTCTGTAGAGCTGCTGTTTAGCCAGTCAGTCCCCAGCCTGTATCAGTGCATGGGATTGTTTTATCCTAAGTGCAGGACTTTGCACTTGTTCTTACTGAACTTCATGAGATTTCTTTTGGTCCAATCCTCCAATTTGTCAAGGTCTCACTGAATCCTAGTCTTACCCTCCAGTATATTTACTGCCCCCTGCAGCTTGGCATCATCCACAAACTTGATGAGATTGCACTTCATCCCATCTTCCAGATAGTTGATGAAGGTATTGAACAAAACCAGCCCCGAGGCTGACCCCTGGGGCACTCTACTTGATGCTGGCTGCCAACTAGACATTGAGCCATTGATTATTACCCTTTGAGCCTGACAATCCAGCTAGTTTTCTCTCCCCCTTAGAGTCAATGCATCCTTCCAAACAACCCATATTTCCTTAGCTTGCTTGCGAGAATGCTGTGGGAGACCGTATCAAGAGCCTTGCTAAAGTCAAGGTATATCACATCCACTGCTCTCCCAACATCCACAGAACCAATCTTCTCATAGAAGGCAATCAGGTTGGTCAGGTATGACTTGCCCTTGGTGAATCCATGCTGACTGTTCCTAATCACCTTCTTCTCCAAGTGTTTAGAAATAGACTATACCAGAGATTTTCAACAGGCCTATCCCCAGTTTCATAATGGAGCTCTGAGCAATCATACATAAAATGCAACTCCTCCTCCTCTTCTCCCCTGCCTGTCCTTCCTGAACACTTTATACCCATCCATGAGAGTGCTCCAGTCATGCGAGCTCTCCCACTAAGTCTCTGTTGTTTTAATCATATCATAGTTTCATGACTGCAAGGGCTTCCAGTTCTTCCCACTTGTTCCTCACGCTCTGTACATTTGTGTACAGACATCTGAGGTAACTAGCTGATTGCCCTACTTTGTCAGGAAGAATGAGAACACTTCCTCTGTTGCCCCCTCCTATTTGTATTTCCTCCAGGTCACCTGCTTCCCCACTTACCTTCAGGCTTTGGTCTCCATCCCCCAGCGAACCTAGTTTAAAGCCCTCCTCACTAGGTTAGTGAGCCTGTCTGTGAAGATGCCCTTCCCTCTCTTCATCAGGGGATCCCATCTCTCCCTAGCAATCCTTCTTGGAGCAACATCCCATGGTCAAAGAAGCCAAAGCCCTGCTGGCAACACTATCTGCACAGCCATGCATTGATCTGCAGGAAGTGTCTGCTCCTACCCAGGATTTTCCCTTGAGCAGAAGGATCAAGAAGAACACCCTCTGAGCCCTTCACCCTTGCACCCAGAGCTCTGTAGTCATTTTTGATCTTCCCAGGGTCCCCCGGCAGTGTCATTGGTGCCAGCATGGATGAGCACCATGGGGGAAAAAGTCAGAGGGCTGGCTGAGTCTTAGTAATTCTTCCATGACATCTCAGATCCAGACTCCAGATGAGCAACAGACCTCCCAAGACAACAGGTCAGGCAGGCCTCTGTCACTGACAGAAGGGAGTCACCCACCACCACCAACCCTCGCTTCCTCTTGGTGGCAGTGATCTCTGTCCTTCTAACCTTAGGGAGGCCTGGCTTGGCCTATTCCTCTGACAGAACATGCTCCTTCTCCTCTGTTGCTAGGGCTCTATATCTGTTCTCCAGGCAAATGGCTGCAGGTGAGGATGAGAACTTCTGCTTGCTGCCAGAGGCCACAAGCTTCCAGCTTCTAACTTCCTGGAAGTCCATTTCCTTTTTCTTCTCCAGTGCTGCCTGTGGCAGCCCTTTCTCTGCAGTCCTAGAGGTCTCCTCCAGCATCAAATCAATGAACTGCTCATGGCAGAGGATGTTTCAGAGCCTTGCCACCTTCTCCGGTAGCTCTCTTACCTGCTCCCGGAGGGACACCCCCAGGAGGCACTGCTCACATCACAGGCCGTCCTCCCACCTGTCTGTCACTAAAAGGAACCTGCCAGCCACAGTCCTCACAGCACCAAACCAGGACCTGGGTGGAAGCCTCAATAGTGAGCAGTCCTGCCTGAACAGACACCTCACAGGTGCACGCCGAGGAAGAGCTGGCAGTGGCACTGGCTCTGGAATTGCAATGTCCTTCAGCCATCGTTCTGGATCTCTTAAATCCTTTGCCTAACTCTTCCTGCCTCCCTCTTCAAACAGACCTTCTCTAGCAAACTCCCTTGTGCTGGTGAAGTCACTCTGGGGTCATCCGTAGTAGCCACCCTCAAGCACACTGGAGACCAAGGTGCCATGGGTAGGAAGCCTCTGGAGTACCTTCTTTGTCACATTTCTAGGTTTGCTTATATAAAAAGGAATGGGTAGGCACAGCATGCCTGGGGCGTGCCTTGGGGGAGCGAGGATGGTCCCTGCTGAGAATGCAATGTAAACATACCCAGCAAGAATAGAAGTTCCTGCCCTACCTCACTACTAGCTTTTGGCAAATCTTGTTTGTCTACTCTCTAAAACAATCCCAGTCTTTTCAGTCTTTCATCTTCTGAACCATTGATCATTCTCTGCACTCTTCCGTTCTGCAATATGCTTTTAGAGGCAGGAGGACCTGTGTTATAACTGAGAATTTGAAATGCTGCCAAACTTACAAAAATACAGGCGTAGTGGTAGTATTTTGTTAGCTTAATATGACAGCCCTTAGTTCTAATTAGTTCCTTTGAACCCTGAGTGGGGTGACTGTAATCATTCAGTTCACCATCATAATAATAAAGACAGAATCTCTGATTCACATATGTTTTAAGGGAAACAAATCTTTTAGTTTTTAGTTAAACACATCCATTAAAATGCTGTTCTGTTTTTTGGAGGGTTTTGTTTTGCTTTGGTTTTATTTTATTTCATTTTTATTAAAAACTGGGCGATTGTGTAACTGCTAACACAGTCTCATCTACAGGCCAGTGAGGGGAAAATGCCTACTGCTGCAAAGTAAAATTTGATGTTCCAGAGATGGTCTGTCAAGATTTTTGTGACCTGGCTGACAAAGATTTTTTTGTATTATTTTAAGAAACTAGGTCATGCTGGTTTCCAGTGCCTGTGCAGTTCTCCCAAGACAGAGCCCTTTTTTAGACACCTGAAATTGACCCTGGTTAGAAATACCACTAAAGTTCCCTGGAGGTTACATCATACCCCAAACTTTATTTTTATTTTATTTTATTTTATTTTACTTTGGCTATTACACTGACTGTTTTCCACTTCCTGTTCACAGCTCAGTCTGCGGCCCACAGTTGCTGAGCTGCAGGCAAGAAGAATCCTACGTTTTAACGAGTATGTGGAGGTTACGGATTCCCCAGACTATGATCGCCGCGCAGACAAGCCATGGGCCAGGCTAACCCCTGCAGACAAGGCAAGCAGCAAATAGCAATTACTGTATAAGGGAAAATCTTAGCACTTTAACTTTCCGAATGTTTCTCTCCCATCTAATTCTCAGTCCTTCCATGCTGGCAACATACATCTTCTAGAAGCAGTGAGACCGGACAATGCATTCATTGTCCACAGCTGGCAGAACCCACTTGGGTGCCTGTTAGAATTGCACTTGCCAGTTCAGTTTTGGCAATTAAGAGCTAAATATCTTTCATTTACAAATTGTTCCTAGGTAGTCAGCAGGTATATATGCACACCCTTGAATTTAACCGAAGTTTCTGTAAAGGCCTGCACACTGGCCCCCTTTGGTCTACTTTTACAGCTCATTAGAGTAAAGTGTATTCTTAGAGGGATAGGCAAGCTCATGGTTATATTCGTTACTATTGTCAGATGATCAGCTGCATGCATTTTGCCTTCCACTCCCAAATCCTGTGTCTTTACCCCATAGACTAATTACATAGTACATAAAACTTAATGAGAAGAGAGTCTGTATCAGAGAGGAAAAGTTTTCCATGCCAGCCACAGATGAAAAGGGTTGTTCTGCACATGGATGCCATGCATGTTTCTGTGCAATGGGGCATCCGAGTTTACTCACTGCTTTGAAAACAGGCTAGCCAGACAACTTCAAATGCGGAAAGAGCTGTGACTTAGAATACTTTTGTTTGTCAACCAGCTTAACTTTTTTTTCTGACTAAAGCTCAGGTTAACTGTTTTTTGTTCTGGGTCTGTCTGTGCCATATATTTGGAGACTCTGAAGATGGGTACATCTAAGCCTGATGAAAAGGGGAACAAGAATAGGCTGCCACCCATGCTACTACAAGTCTCAAACTTGTCTGGTGGTGACCATACTTCTGGTTGCATTTCCAGGCCCATGACTCACCTCCTTTAATTCAATTTCAGTCAGGCTCATAACCTCACTTGGAACCACAATTTCCAGTTTGGGTAACCACTATCATACTGCATCATAATCTCCCCAGTTGGTTTCATGGACGTTACACAGCAGACAAATCAAAACTAAGCCCTATGAGGATAACCACATAGGAGGAGTTGTCACCCAATGCCATCTTCTGTCACTATGAATCTGAAAAGAATGGCTGGATGAACTATAAAATGATTCATATCCCCTTGCTAGTTTATGGAGGCAGCATCTCAGAATCAATGGCAACATAGGCCACTGAAAAATCATAACGAATCCTCAAAGCCAGTTGCTGAATAGATACCTAACTGGTATGAAAAATGCTGCTTCCATGCCATGAAGGACTACTGCTGTCGACTATGTCTAAAATGCACAGAGAAGGGGGTATGTTGAATAGATTCGTGTAAAGTTGGGGAGAAGGTGGAAGGAAAGCAATCCCTGAATGTTGTATTTTTTATTGTACAAAGGCAGCAAATGGAAAGGTTAAGCTATGCCATTAGGACTCTGAAAAGTTACAGTTTGACCATTTTATTGTTATCCAAAATGTGTTTCCTTCAGGAAGCATGTTATTCTAGTAAATTGCCAGTTCCTCTGACTTTCTGGAGGGAATTAAATAAAACATTTTGTTTCCTTTTAATGACACATAAGAAGGAGATTTTTTGTTCAGTACACAGCTCTCCTGTTCTTTTTTCCTACCCCCCAAGAAAGAAATTGGCAGGACCTTTGTAGTAGTAGTAATAGTTGGTTCTTCAGCCACTGCTTTGGGACCACATTTTATAAAAAATAGAAAATGTTGCATCATCTATATAGGCTATCACAAAACATACTTAGATGAGTTCAGTGCTTTTTAACTGAGGACAGGTGTCTTCATTTACATGTCCACAGTGCAGATAGCACCTCCACTGTGGCAAACTACACTGGTACCTGGCATAGATAGCTGAAATCAGATCATCCCATCACATAGACAAAAGCAAGGTGGTCCGAGTGCCACATTACCAATAAAATAAGAGGGACTTGATGGTTGATAAGCTTTTAATAATTGTCAATGGAGGGTTTTCACATGGGCTAGAGGCAGAAATTACACACAAAACAGTATAAGCATTCAGGAACCAGTTCAAATCTGTAACACAACAGAAGTTCCGTACACATAAACCACTTTCAAAATGGCCAAAACCAGTTTAATATAAACCTGGATGGATGTAGTATCAGGCTTAACCGATTTAGTTTAAATCAGTTTATTGAACTTCTGTCTTAGCTCTTCTCCATATTCAAGGTAACTCATAGTCTCCTGGCATCCCAGGATGCTTTGCACCTCCCCCACAAAACTCTGCCTCTCAGGGTGGCTGAACTAGCCTTGGCCCAACTAGTCCGGCCCAACTAGTCCAGCCCAGCAGGGAGGCATACTCTAGCATCCCCCAGCTTCTGGCCTGGGCCACTGTAAGCATGGGACTGCATTTCCAGAATGGGAAGTGATGTCTGTTTACTTGGTTATTGGTTCAATCTACACAGTTTAGACTAACCTGTGAATGTTAAATAGGTTCAGCTGTGGGCTTTTTGACTGTCTGTGCATAGTCCTGGAAGTAATCTGCTCATTTCTGGCCTAATAGTTGAGAGTCATTTACCATCTGAAATTTTTTTTTTAGCTTCTATCCATCTTATAACGAACAGGTACTCACAGTGCCTGTCTTCAATATAGGAGGGGGGGAAAGGAGGGGAGGAAGGCTGCAGACACACAGCCAGTTCCAAACTGGAGCTCGATTTCCCACCCACCCCGTCTTTCCCCCAGACCCAACAGAAAATGTCTGTTGGGTTGGGGGAGGGGGGGTGTTGCTGTAACTCATGGCACTCCCTGTGAAGCTGCATGTCTGTCAGCACCCAGAGACTCCCGATACTTGTTCTCCTTCTTCTGCCTCAGCTGGAGACATACTCTGTAGGTCAAATTGAAACACATCAGTGGGAAAGAAGCACTACACCAGTTTTGTGGGTTCACAACTTTCTTGTCTCAGCTAGCAATATGACATATGCTTAAAAATTGTATTATATCTGAGCTATACTTCTATCCCTACTATTAAAGCAGCCTTGTGCTACATATCACTGGGTGTTAATCAAGACCAGCTTCTGCTGAAACATAGGTTTTATCATTTATGAGTCACAATTTTGGTGACATTGTGTAATATTATCACACTGTTACACTGCCCTATCTTGAAAGATACGCATTCTTAATAAGATGCCTTTTTCAAGTATTACTGAAGTGATATTGCTTCTATTTAAAATAGTGAAAGGGAAGGGAGAAAAGAGAGAGAATAACCTGTATCTCACTGAATCATGAGGGTATATAATGCATGAGGGTATATAATGTCCTATGTTGTAACCAGAACCCTTTATAGTAGTACCTGTGCGTTTAGAGCGCTGACCTTTTAGAAAATTATATGGCTTACCTGGTGAAGTAAATTGATTACTACTTTTTACATAAGCAACAAGAATTGACATTTTGAAGTGTGTTGAATTTTTGCTGTTCTCTTGTCTGCCAGCTAAAAACACAGGCCGGGAATGTCCAAACACTTCATGTCATTTTACATAAAATTGATCAAACTGAGTGACTAATTTCCATTTGAGAAGTAACATTTATCTTGCATTCCTGAACTCATGTCTCCAATCAGGAGATATAGGAAGCCTGCCGTCTGCACAATTGCTAGGCATGACAGGTGACTCATCCGCCCCTCCAGGGCTATATACTGTGATAATCTGTTTGCAGATGCATACTAAACAGGTGGCTGTCAAAGGTGACAGATTCCCTTTCCCTGCTTCCTTTGTAGCAAGTTCTGTATTTCAGTGGGGATTTTTTTTCCTGTCCTAAGAAATTTTTTAATGTTAAAAAAAAAAAGTGTACTTCTCCAAATAACCATAATTAAAAGAGTCATTTGTTCTGGAATTAAAAGTATGCAAGAATTGTGGAGTTATGAATGGACTTTAGTGAATGGTGAATAGAAAATAATAGAGACTAACATGCTCAGCACTCACAAGGAGTAAATCCTTGTTCCTGTATGTTGCTTTCTAAGTGTTGACCTTTCTTATGTTTGTGTGTTTGTTTTTTTATTCTTGTTAGGCAGCAATACGGAAGGAATTGAATGAATTTAAAAGCACAGAAATGGAAGTACATGAAGAAAGTCGACAGTTTACAAGGTAAGTAGATGTACCTTTTCCAAAAGGCCAAAAGAAAATAACCATGATATATGGTAGGCTTGGCCCTTCCAAGATTGGCAGTGATAATACTTTGCAACTGATTATTTGAAGCTTTTCAGGCAGGATTTCATTTTTGCTGATTAAAATCATAGAGATTAACCACTGGATTGGGCAGAATGGATCAAATTCTAAATGGGAAAGATTGTTTTGAAATCCAAAAAATAATCCTTCCACACTGATTTCATTGAATTCAGCATAAACCAGATGAAATTAAGCACCTGTATGTGTGTGAGGCCTGTTCCCACAGACCGTTAGGAGGTGCTCTCAACATGAGAATCAAGATAGTGGTCTGGCAAACTTCACAAAGTTCATCAGTCTGGCAACTAACAGAGCTGCATACCCATTTTATTCAATGATGATTTAATGGAAAAACAGCAGAGGAAGCAGAGGCCAAGACCCAGAGCACCCATCCTTTCATAGCAGTGCCTATTGCACTGGCCACATAATAAGGCTGACTCACTTTCCTGTCCTACAGATCTTCTCCTCCTGGCTGTCCAGTGGCCTAGCTTCAAGAGGCAGGGAGGAAGGTACTCTTGGTTCTGCCCATTCCACAGCCTATTGGTCAGAGCATTTTCCTAGGACATAGGAGATGTAGGTTCAAACCCCCTCAGGCTGAGGATGTGAGGGTGTCTGAAACCTACGTCTCCCGTGTCTTGGGAAAATTTCCTAACCCACAGACTACTGAGCTAAAAGGCAGAAGAGCCCTTGTTTTCCTTTCCATCAGACAGGTGCTGATCTCTTTTTTACTCCATGTTTCAGCGACTAAGCAGATTTATGTGCCTTCTCAGGTAGAACAGGATTGCAACACAGTGGCCATGGGAGATCCCTTCTGAGCATGCGCAGAAGGACAAGTCCAGTTGCACAGGTGGGGGTAGGATCTAAAATCTTTATAAATGGTTCTAAGTGCCATTTGCATGTCTAATTTTTGGCTGCTAAGTAGCACTTAGTCACCAAAGGGGAGAATTGGTTTTCAGTCCAGGTCTGGAAAATCACTATCTTCTAAACCCCAAAGTGTGACGTTTGGACCAAACGTAGCCCAGAAGTCCCTTTGATATAGCTAGTGGCCAGTAATATTTTTTTTTTGGACAAGTACCAAGGGTTCCCAAAGTTTGGCCCACACGCTAAATGCAGCCAACAGGTCCCTTTGTGGCTGCCAGGACTGCCCTTTGAAATGGCTCTTCAGGGGCAAAACTTTGGGAATCCCTGGTCTAAACCCTATTTCCCCATCCTACATCTAAATGATGCACAAATAGCTCCATACCTACAGTGTTTCGTGCTTATAATTTGGGATTCTAGTTCCACTTGTGGTGAAATAGGATTGCCATGAGTGTGTACTTGATAGAAGTAAAAGGGAGGAAGAGGACAATGACCCTCACGCCTTTTAACCCAGTGGCCAGTACACTTACCCAGAGATTGCCTCAGACAATTTTTTTCTGACAGTTAAGGCCAGGAAAGTAGCCTAGACTGAACTGACCAGCAAAGTGGTTTAATTCCACTCCACTCCCTGTCCCACTGGCAGGGACCTGAGCTGGGGTCGGTCAGGCGCTCCCCCCTTGCTGCTGCAGTGGTGGGGCTGGGCACAGCCAGACTCTGGCCGACATGGCTCCTTGAGGCAGAGGAGGCAGGGAGGGGGTTATTCCCCCCCGCTGCCTCCTCTGCCCCTGGGGGACCATAGCTGGGATCTGCCTGCCCCAGCTGCTGCTGCTGCTTGCTCCCTGTTTGAGGCAAGTGGCAGAATAAGCACCCTCCTGCCCCTTCTACCAGACACCAGAGGGAGGGGAGAATAACCCCCCTCCCTGCCCTCACCTAAGGGGCCCTGCTGGTCAGGCTCTGGGGCGGGGTTATTCTGCCATCTGCCCCCAGGGCACCGCAGTGGAGTTTCACCGCCACTACTGCCACCATTCACTCTGTGCCTGGGGCAAGCGGTGGAATAAGCCCCATCTACCCCAGATGCCAGAGGCAGGGAGGCAGGAGAGGGCTTATTCTGCCACTTTCCCTGGGCACAGAGTGAGTGGCAGTGTTTGTGGTCAGACCCCGCTGCAGTCCCTCAGAAGCAGCGGGGAGAATAACCCCATTCCCTGCCCCAGCCTAAAGGGCCTTGCTGGCTGGCAGCTAGCTCCACCCCCTGGAGCAGTGACGGGAGGAGCGAACATGATGGGGGTAGTAGGGGGAGGGGGAGGAGGGTGCTTATTCCACCTCTTGCCCCAAGCAGGGAGCAAGCAGCAGCAGTTGGGGTTGGCAGACCCGGCTGTGGTCCCGCAGGGGCAAAAGGGGTAGAGGGGGGAATAACCCCCCTTCCTGCCCCCTTTGCCTCAGGGGGCCATGCTGGCCAGCATGTGGCCATGCCCGGTCCCACTGCTGCAGCAGCAAGTGGTGGGAGCTCCCGGTGGACCCAGGCTTAGGTCCCTGCTGGTGGGACAGGGAGTGGGGAAACCCCCTCAATGGCCAGTTCAGTCCAGGCTACTGCTTGGGCTGGCTATGCCCCCACCGTTGGACCAGTCAGCAGAGAAATGCAGGTTGGTGCTGGTGGGAGGCGGGAGGGAAGGGAGGGCAGGAGGGAATAAACTTCTTCCCTGCTCCCTTTGGGATCAGTGTCTGTCCAGACCCCGCCCCACCCCGGTCCCTGGCTGGGGACCAGAGTGTCAGGGCCAGCCCTGCTCTGCTGGAGCAGAGAGCCCAAGCTAGAGAGCATGCTGGGATGCTGGGGGACTCTGGTTTAAGTTAAACCAGGAAGGGGTCTGGGACAGACATTGCATAAACCAGTTGGACCCAAATCAGTTAAGTTTGATACTACATTCAACCAGGTTTATCTCAAACCAGTTTTGCCCATTTTGAAACTGGTTTATGTGCACTGAACTTATGTTCTGTTATAGGTTTAAACCAGTTTCTTATCACTTAAACTGGTTTATATGTAATGTCTGTCTCTAGCCCATGAGTCCAGCCAGACAAGCTGTATAAAGAATAGCACGAGGAATTGCTGCATGAGAAATAGCAAGCCGGAAAAGTATCTGTCCTCATTTTCTCTGATTAGCCTGCGACAGAAAGAAGTGATTATGCTAAATAAGCAAAGAAATGATAGAGAAAAATTATTGTTAGTAAGAGCAGAACCAGCCCCCAGACACTGAGAATCACTTGCAATGCAGGAGGTAAGAAAAGAGGTTGAATCTCCATGATGCTCTTTTGTTAAAAGAAATATTACTGATGTAACTCACTACTAACCTTAGAGTGGAAAAGAAAAATTTAAATTTAGCTTAATAGAACCATGGACAAGTCACTCAAGAGCAGAGAATAAATTATTCATTTTTAAAAAATGAATCACTGAGGAAATACAAAGTAAAAGTGATTTGCAGTGGCAGCTGGTCAGAACAGATTTACTTATGAAATTATTGGTAGGATGAAAAGATAAGGGAACTGTTTATTATAGCTGCTAATCTGTTTCCCAGCTCTCTAGCATTGCCCAAATTTGATACTGAGCTGTAAAGAAGAAAGCCGTTGACATTTATTTGTCCATAATGTATTATAATGCATAAGGATTAAAGCTTTCCTTTTGGTCCTGATATTTTTTTGGGGGATTACATTAGAAATGATGTGAGGAAACAAGAAAGTAGATTCTTCCAAAAAAAACCAAACCCAAACCTTCAGACTTGGGAAGGTGATAATAGTTAATATTTATAAAGTGCACCTAATAATAATTCATGTATCACTACTTTTAAAACTCCTCACTCTCACACAAGATTCATCCTTAACCTCTGCAGTTGTTAAACATCATTCTGATCAATACAGATAAAAAGCATACCTCCTCCTTTACAAGACAGCATATTCTTCCAGTTGTTTATATAGCATGTGAATATCAAGTTTTGCCCTTATTTGAAAAATTCATATAAATATGAAGTGTACAATATCATGGTGGCCTGTCTTGTTTTGTCAGGAAATGTCTCCATGTGTCAGAAAAAACATATATGATTTTATCTACCCAAGCGGAGAGATTTTGTCTCCTTTGGATGAACTATTCATAATATTATTTTTAAAGCAGATGCTTCTTTCATTTTTTTCATGGGTGTGTGTCACTGTCAAACAATTTAAACCAAACTTCTTAAGTCTGATGATAGTTTCATTACCTGGCATGGGGGACTTGTCTTAAATTTTAGTTGGCACAATTTACTGCTGCTAAGGAATAACTGTGTTAAGTCAAAGGAAATAAACCAGTGTCAGGTCCTATGCCATTACTGAATGAAACAACATCTTTGTATTTGATTTCCTATTTCAGATTTCATCGCCCATAATTATTTGACAGTATCCTTTGTTTCATATACTAATTTCCTTTGGGGAAATCATTGCGTCCTGAAGACCTAAGATTGCACTGGAACTGGATCGAGTGTGAATGTGTGTTGCAGCTTATCCTAAGGTTAATGAAGGATGTGGCTCTCATCTTCATCACAGAACCAGAGTTTTGACCAGGAGGAGAACCCATATAAAGTATTCCTTTTTAACTAACCAGCGTTTTGATGGTAAGAGAGACTGTCTTCCTGTGACAAGCTCATGTGGATAGTCAAATGATTTTTCGTCTGAGCTTGATGAGACAGGAATTGCTGAAGACAATCGTTTGGCAGCCTGTTGCCAGGCACTCATCAGACTTTATACCATGGTGACTGAGGGAAATTGTGTGGAACAGGAAGAGTGAACGAGAGAGAGAGGGAGTGTGTGAAAGAGAGTGAGTGAGACGTCATGTGTCAGTTAACAGAGAAAAAGTTAGATCAAAGGTAGCAAATTCTTTATGGAACAGTTTTAATGATATATTTGGCCAGTTTGTAAATCCAAGAGCTTGAGCAACTGCACTTGTGTTTTTTGAGAGATCTCAGCCTGTCTCACCAAGGCAGTAAACCATCAAGTCCTAATTTCATAAGTACTTTAGTGAAGTACAGTCATTTTTGTGGTGCCAGTGAACCCAGTTGCCAGAAATTACTCTTGGTATAATTCAGATGTATTTTTTAAAATTCTGACAAGCATGCTTGAAGAAAATACTTATGCTTATGTAGAATAGCTAAATATGCTTTTCATTTTTAATGCCATTATACCTTGGATCCTCCCTGATTATGCATCAGAATTAAATGGGCAGGATTATAAGGGCAAAATGTGATGTGATGAGTGCAATGAAAGGATTCAGGTTTAAAAACACTCCTTTGTCTGTTGCTCCACTTACTGTCAAAAAGGTGGTATGAGCCTCTGTGGCAGACAGTATTGACAATCATAACATCATTTGAATCCAAAACTGAAATCAGGCATAAATTTCCTTACAAAGGTTAGGCAACCACTTCTTTAGTTTAAGAGCTGTGTTAGATGGATCCCTTGGATTGCTTCTAGAAAGAATTAACTTGTGGATCAATGTGTCTTCAACAAGGACCTTGTAAAGGCTACAGAAAATCCTTAAAATGTCTACAGCCTATTTTTGTTGTGTGTGAAGAATGCTTCTTAGCTCTGCAGTTTTTTATACTATCTTGGAATTGTATTTGTGAATACAGTACTATTAAAATTAAATGGTATGGAGTATGAAAGGCAATATGTGCTTTTGTTATGTTGCCCTAAGGCCAATTACAAGCCTATGGCATTGTTTACACTAAGAAATTCTCTGTCTTATATAGCACTTATTTATCCTTTGATTAATGTACACAATGATTTTTCTGGGCCTGGAATTCACATAAGCATACATGTAATGCAGTATTACAGTATATATACTATTTATCCTTTTTAATGTGTGTACATATTACAATTTATTTTTGTCTTTCATGTGCCCTGTTTAGTTTCTAATTATGAAAAATGAGTATTTTTTTCAGGCAATAAAAGTTCTGTGTAGAGTGATTTTTACCTCAGAACCTGTAACAGATTCTTGTGGAGTGTTTTTAGTGTATAAACTTAATGATTGTTGTTTTAGATGCCAGCCTAAAGGCAGGAATGCAATTAGATGCTAAAATTAGATTGCACTCTTTACTGATATTTACAAGGCCAGGTTTACGTAAATGTGATGGATTATTTTAGTAAAGAGCATTCAAGTAACAGGAGGGTGATTTTCATCAGCTGGCGTTCCATTTCTTTTTAAATAGGTTGATGCAAACATTTTAAGGAAGTAGGTTGATGTGACCTACAGAAGCACTTATATTTTATGAAAAACCCTACAGAATCCTGTGTATGATCCCCCAAAATATCAGTAACCCAGAGAAACAACCAATTATAAGCTTGCAGAAAGTAAAAATAACGTCATTCCACCTTTAATGCAGTCAGTTAGATGTTTTAAGAACAATTAATAGGAAACAATTTAGGGTCTGCGATGCCATCATTTTGTAAAAGGAAAAAGCGTCATTTTTTACATCAAGGAAATAATGAAGATGTATTCGCTCACACTAACTGATAGAGAAATGCACAGACCATAAGATTTAAGTTTTTTAGTCAGTACCTCTATATAATCCCTTATTTTGAGAATTTAAAACCAACCTTAAAAATGTATCTTGGATTGGAACTTGGCAGAACAACAAGACTGTGTTTGGTTCTTTGTTGCTAAACTTAAAAGGAAAGTACTGTGTAAGTGCAAGGTTTACTGTTTTGACTCAGAGTTATATAATGCTTACTTAAAAAAAATTAAATGATACAGATGACTGGTTTGACTGGTCCTTAATATGGGCAAGATAGCACTTTTACAGTTTTTAAGAAAGTAGCCAATATATTATATCTGGAGAAGTAGTTGTTGCATGTGCCTAGTAAGAATCTCTCAAAATGGGGACTCTTAGATCCCTTAAGTGTGTTGCTGAATCAGAACAACACACCATATGGTTTGTATTATACAAGCACAACCATCTAACCCTAGACAAGTATTTTCTTCTCTACTGTAAATAGCAAATGGGGTGAAGGCCAAAAGCTGTAAGAATCTTCCCAAGCAATAGAAAAGTTAAGGAGATTCTAATGTGTCACAATGATGGATGAACCAAGTTACTTTTGCCATAAAGAGCTGTACCGCTTCAAATTTCAGTGATGCCTCATGATCATTTGTTATTGGTTGCCTCGGTAGCTTTTTCAACTGCTCTCATCACCGGTGAAAAAGGATATGGTGCATTCCTAAGCTTTTAAGTGCAGGCTGCCTGCAGCTCAGATGGGAAATAGGAAGGTGAGTTCTGGAAAAGGAAAAACTAGCTGGGGAGGGCTAAGATGGCAGTTCTTAAAGCAGAAAATGAGAGTGAAAATGAAAAGAGGGGAAAAGATCCCACCCTGGTGGACTCTGGTTAGAAGAAATGGGTAATGTGATCAATGTGATTGTTTGTTTGCTTGTTTTAATTTCTGTCCAGCTGGAGTATAAATAGAAATCTGTGGTAGGCATTTGACTACATCTTACTCATCTGTATTGTGTTCAGCAATGTAACCAGATATGAATATATAGTATACGCTCATTGTAACTAACCTCCATGGGACCAGGAGAATAATTCATTAAACAAGTTGTTCACTGTAATAGGGTTAGTCCATTTGCTGCATCAGAAAAGTGAAAAAAATGCTTGTTAAAAGTAGGGGGGGTTATAAGCAGGGTTTGTTATAAAAACTTCTGATGAGGGTGTGTTCTGTGTGTGTTTGTGCATGTGTGTGTACAAACAAACAGACATATATGCACATGAGACTGGAGTACTTGTTTCAAAATTCTCAGTTTTATACCGTATTCTGATCTCACTCTTGGAGGCCTCAAGCACCCAGATCTCCATGTTTAGAGAACATAGGATTGGGTCCTAAATTCTTGTTTGCAGATGAGATTAAAGTGGTTCCAAAGGAGTCTAGCATCTGAGATGAAAATTGCATCTCCTTGAACATGAACTGACAGGTTTAAAAAAAAATCGGTTTCAACCCCCAAATACTTAATAGGTATACATATAGACTAAGATAATATAAATACACGTTTTAAGCCAAGTAGCTTAGCTAAAACTCATTTCAGATCAGGGCCCAAGTTATCAGGGTGGTCTCTCTGAAGTCAGGAAGACTTGCTCAGAGTAATCAGCCGTATCATGGCTTGTTTGCAGAATCAGGAGCTAAGTTTAAGGTTCCTCATGTCCCCTGCTGTAGCTGACATCACTGACTCTTGGAAAAATACAGAGGCTGAAGGTAATGGAGCTCCATTTTCTGCTTTGATGATACTTGTGTCCATTATTACAGAAGAAATACTGAACTCAATCACTTTCTGGTAAAAATCTTTTCAGACCAATTCTAGAGTATGTTTATTGGCAATCAAAAAGAAAGGTGTGAAGCAAAAACATCCTCAAAAGTCAAAGGTTGGCTCCCATTCTGAGCAAGATTCTAATCTTAGTTTCATCAATATCTTGTCTTCATTCAAGAGAAAAACTCTCACTGCTATTAATATTACAACCATGTCAGAGAACTTAGTTGCAGCAGGACTGCAAATTAACCTCACAACAAATCTGGTTTGAGCAACAACTTACTGTGATTATAAAATACAGATAAGGTCCAGTCAGCACTACAGACTGGAATACTGATGTAAATCTGATAACCATGGAGGTCAGTGGAAATACTCTCATTGACTTTGGTAGACCCTGCTTGTAAGCAGTTTGAACCAATGAGGTTTGAGCAGTTTGAACCCTTGTGTGATTGAACCTGTAATAGAGATGGGACTTAAAGCTGCCATACCAGAAAATCAAAATATTCTTAACATTACTTTTAACACTTTCTGATTCAGTATTTTGAATTAAAATCCAGCATCTACCAGCATTGGATGTCCTGCTATATCACAAGAGCATCGTTTCATGCTTTAACATCCTTTGTATATGTATCTCAAAGAGCTTGATCTCTGCAGCTGCTAGAAGTTAAAATGGAAGCGTGCTCAAGATGAAAAACAAAAAAACTTGCCTCCTGCCTTTAGGATTTCCTGTATTTAGCTCCACAATGTTCATTTTTATAAAATAAAGCACAGTGTAATAATGTTGGGACCCCAATTTTAGCTGTTGGAGGACAAGAATATTTAGAGAACCAGTTGTGAAAGGTAGTATTGGGTTGTTAATAAAATATTTTAAAGATTAAATACAAAGAAAGGAAAGGTAACCCCTTTTGAAAAGCCTACATTATTCTGTTTGAAAAGTGATATTTAAAAAAAACTTATGAAAGTACAGATAAAAAGAGACACAGAGGGATTCAGTAAAAAGAGCACGTTTCACTGTAATATTATGAGGTTTCTATTTGTTAATGTTAATGATTAATCAGGTCTTGTTTTATTTTGTCAGTGTCTACAACCTGCTCCAAGACTTTAAAGGAAATAGAACTCATAGCTACCAGGAAGTTGTTTTCCATTATTTTCATCCAAAAATAAATATTGCATTGTGTAGCCACAAAGGAATTAAAGATATACCATGTATATTTTTATTCTCTCATTAATTTTTTATTCAAAGTCTTTGAATAATATGTGAAATATAACCACAGTAAAACACTTTAATGACAAAGTAAAATCATACAGGACATAGCTTCTCGTCTTTTAACTAGTTTGTGTGATGGTATATGGATTTGTAACCTGCATAAATTTTGGAATTAAAAAACCTGTTTGGATCATTATTTTAGCTGGTATGACTTTGAGCAAAACAAAAATATCATGCTTAAAATATACCTACATTGGTTAGTATCCTACTCTTTTTTAAATATAAAAAGCTAATTTACTGTCTTTAAATAAGGTACTCTGAATTTTTATTATTCTAAAAGATAAAATGAAACCCATATGAAATACAAAGTTAAATTCAGGCAAGATATTGAACCAGCACAGCCCATGTTGCTGTATATGAAAGAGCCAATAGCTTTTCACCACATTTTAATTTTTTTTTCTTACAGAATACTCTGGGTATCAACACTGGCTGGTAATATCAATATGCCAAATATTCACTAGTTTTGTTTAAAACTAACAAAAGGGAATTCTTTTTCACATGGCATGTAATTAAAGTGTGTAACTCATTGCCACCAGATGTTGTGGAAACTGTCAGTTTAGCCAGACTTAGAAAGGAACTGAACAAATTCTTGGAGAAAAGGGGCATCAGCAGCTATTGAGCATGGGAATTAGGGATACAGCCTCTGAATTATATCTGCCTAGACCTTAAATGCTGGAAGCTGTGAGCGAGGGACAGTGGGAAAAAAAATCCCTGGTCATGCCCAGTTCAGTCTCCCTTTCAGCATCCACTCTCTACCACTGAGACACTGGATACTGGGCGAGATGGACCTGCGGTCTGACCCAGTACATGGCAGTTCTTATGTTCTTACTAGTATTCGCTGTGATAGACTTGAAACACTTCACAGTTAGGACAAATTCCTGCTTGTGTGACTTTTTCCATGGAAGTCCTCTGAGAGATTTCTAAGAGATGATTCCCATGAGAAGGGCTTGAAAAACTAGGCAGTCATTAAAATGATGGAAAAAAAATAAAACTATTCATGCCTGACAACCAGCTAAAGCTAGTAGTAGAATTTCTAGAGGGTCCTATTTGTTGCTATCAAAGTCAATGGGAGTTTTACCATCGATTTCACTATGAGCAGGATTGGACCTACAGTGAAATCTTGGCCCCATCAGAATTTTTACGTTGACTTACTGGGATCATGATTAGAACATAATCAAGATTACTTAATTATGTATAATATCAAGCAACAGGCAGTTTTGAAACTTTATCTTCATTATTTTATTAACTGGATTAAAAACAGAAAGCGTTCAAAGTATTCTGCATGAATGTCGCCAAAATTCCATATTTGAAACAAAAAAGAAAACAGCAAACAGTATTAAAGATTTATTTCTCTATTGCCTTGCATGGTGAGCTGTCATTACTACCCATTCAATTGCTCAGAACTGTGGCATTTTGCACATACTTCCCACAGAAATAAATCACCATACAAGATGCAAAGCAGTGAAGAATTAAGAGCTCAGTTTTTAAACTTGTATAGAGAGTGCTTTGAAGACACTGATGCAGCCTTTTGTATCACAGCAGCTCTGGTTAAAATGGCAACTTTGATGAAAATATCAGGCAAAATGAATTTAAAATGTCCAGCGGCTGATCTAATACTGCATATTGCACAGGTATATTGATAACTGGAACTGTACACTAATAAGACAAGTTATTTTGGTCCTTTATCTGTACTGTAATATATATATATAATATTACACACACACACATTCCATTACTATCTGAAAAAAGAGTATTATGGTTTCATATCACACCAATATTTTCCTTGTGTTTGTTATTCTTATTTAACAAGCAGAACTGTGCTCTGACTAGTTGTACAATATTGTAGGATACGTTGCCTTGCACAATTCCAAGTGCCTTAGAAAAATGTTTAGCTCTTTGAAGTATATATAAATATATATAAAATGAAAAATAGATTACCTAAATAAAATTGTTCAGAAAACCCTTGCAGACACATCTCTTTCTTGACTGGAATAAGTACATATGTAAGCGTAATAAATTTGATTTCTAATAGGCATTATTTAGTAAAAAAATTACTTTAATGATTTATTAAAAGTAACTCTACTGCAGATGAGCGATTCTTTTTTTTATCACTTGCAAAATAAAATTAACTTGTCAGCATCTCACTTTTAATTTTTAGAAGCTCTTCATACATCTTCAGCAGCTCTTCTGTAAGCAAGTCCTTCCCTTCAGAATGTGCTATGACCTAACAGTGATGGTTATGTTAAAAATATAAAGATAGGGTGATTATATGCAATGGAGGTGAGGGGTCTGGTTCCACCTACAGGGTGCTGACAGAAGTGATGTTTTGTTGCATAGTCAGACCCCTGAAGCACTCTACCACCATGCCCTGACAGAAATACACAGCTGAAGAGCACTTTAAAAAGTGCCTGATTGTGCGAGAATCTGAACCCTGGTTACATGAGGATTTAGATGAAGGCTCTCCAAAGCAAAGCGCCTTCATAAATTTGTCAGTGCGTGCTAGAAGCAGGGCTCCCCAGGGCTGTATTCAGAATGGGAGCCGGGGGAAGGGGAAGGAGAGAATTACATCTGGGGTTTGCCCAGGCTGTGCTGGAGGGTGGGGTGGGTAAATTGGAGGCACCCACTCCCTAAGGTGGGGGGCTCCAAACACCTGTCCTATCCTCCAGCGCAGGCTGGGCAACTCCCAGATAGATATCCCGCCCCCGCATCCTGAAGACAGACTGGGGGGGGTGCAGGGCTAGGGGAGAGAGACTGAAGACAGGTAGCCACTCCAAATTGGAGCTCAAGCCCCCAAACCCCGAGACCCAAAAGCAAACGTGTTGGGTTGTGGGGATCATTCTAATTCATGGGCTTCCTAATGGGTCTTGGAGAGAACAGGGCCGGGCCCGCAAAGTAGGGGTCTCCCTTCCTCCCACATGAGCATCTTAACAGCAGCAGAGGCTGCTACACCCAGAGCTGGGGTGGGTGGAGGGGAAACGGAGCCCCTTCCCACCTTGCAGGCCTGGCTTGGCTACCCATGCTGGGGTCTTGGAGGGAGCCAGGC